CGAGGCGAAGCCGAGGGAAAATAGAATGGTCCATGGATCACTGAGGGAGGCTAGTTTTACTTCACCACGAGATAAAGCATTCAATAATTATTTGTTTTATAACACTTCACCCGCAGGTTCTGCTTGATTTTAATATTTCAAATCAGTTAAATCTGAACACAGTTGAAATAAACTTCCATTTCAATACAAAATTGGTGGAAAATGTATTTCTCTCTTAAAAACTACCCCTTCACGAAAATGTTTGAACCCAAGTCTGCGGTGCGCTCTCTTTGGAATAATACGCGCTACGCACAACGCGCAACGCGCACACCAGCATGCATTTGCACACAAATACCGCGCCGTGGAAATAGTAGGCCTACTTTGGTTGCTAATGGTATAGTACTTTGGTTGCTATGCGCATAGTACTTTTGGCCGTGCACAGAAAGATAGCAAAATTAGAAAGTAACATGTGACTCGCTCTCGGCCAATCAAGACACAGAATCTGTGGGTGAGGTGTTATAAATTCACCCATACTGGACAATAGTATCGCCCTACAATGCCCGTGCGCGTGCCATAGAGTTATGGCGCGTGCCCGTCTTTTTTGCATCGTTTGCGTCAAATTGAGCACGCGCGCTTTAGCTTTACATGACGTAAACAATTGAAAAGAACGGCAGTGCGTGATGTATTAAAGCTATATACTGTCATGTTGAGGCTCAGAAAATGCTGCTTTTCTGGTGTCCCGAGCAATACACCCGCCGATTTTCAATTTCATACGGTGCCCGGTTCTGGAGATAATCGGCGTACATGTCAGACAGACAGACAGACAGACAGACAGCCCGACAGACAGACAGACAGACAGACAGACAGACAGACAGAGATTCCTTGAATTGTAGTATAGACTGAAATGTGTCCCTAGCCATGAAACATATCGACCCGTGCTGTCGTAGCAGTAATAGAAATAGCCGCCACCCATATAGAATTCAGACTGTACCAGTAAATTAATTTTCATGGACCTCATTGATCATTACGCACACATAATACTCGGAACTTTGCAAGATGTTTGAGATACACATAAAATTAAAGCTTATTTCATCGTCTTTCATTTTCTGTTTATTTTTTGGGGGCCACGATTGGCTTTTGGATGAAAATTCCATCCAAAGATGATCAACCCGAAAAGTAGTCCTGAAGCCCGTTGCCATTTTTGAAAAGAATGTCTATCGCTCTACTGCAAAATAGAGCAATGTTAGGGCCTCATTTTTCAGAAATACGAGCTCGCAGTCATCCTGTGCACGGCTTCCATCATTTTTTAACCCTCAAGTTCATGGCCCTTAAGGTGCTCTAATACCAGAGAACACGAGGTCGTGCAAATCGTGATTTGGCCGGTGCAGGCAATTTCGGGCTCGTTTTTATGGCCGGCACCAGTGAACTTGAAAATGGGTATGTCAGCTGAACAGCAAGTCTGTGCTTTGTTTTCTTTGTAAAGTTTTACGCATCTGCAATTTAAGAAAACGGCCGAAATACTAATTGAGGACCCCAAATGATTTAATAACAAAGGCACCTTAAATGTTGTATTTTGGAATTATAGGGAATTACAAGATCATAATTATGGAACGTTGAAAGGTATATTTAAACTCAACAACTACGTAGGCGGAAATAGAATACTTAAGTGGACACCAAAGTCTATATAAACTTACAAATGTTACAATATTAAAGTCAATCCATTTTCTTTTATATATTAGAATGGAATGATATACTTGTAGAGAAAGTAAAGTATCAATGAACCGTAAACAGCCTGATTATGCTACCTATGTCTATTTCTACGGCAGCAAATTTGTACATAGCGGCATTTGCGATCTCAATTGGAAAACATGTAGTAGTATCACTTTGTGTTATTGATCAGTTATTTTACATTCTCATGCGTAGATCAACAGATACTGAAACTGTTAATTAAAAATACATTACACGTCTTTTAATTTATGACATTGTTGGTAACTGTCACCGACGTAGTGGATTGAAGAAGTCATACCACAACCAAAGGCCCTACTCAGACCAAATTATATTATGTTTTCAACAATGTTTACAAACGGTTAATATAGGCGTATTTCCACTGTTATCAATGGAAATTGTGATGAAGATAACCACGTAAACAAATCCCGGTTCTGTATGACTGGCTTAATTAAAGCGTAAATGTAATTGAACTACTTTATGTAAAGAATTAAAATGATTTAACAAGTTGTTTGGTATACAGGCGTGTCCTGCCCATAGCAAAGTTTGAAAGATTCAGTCAACATAATAAAAACATAAATTACGTACAAAATATAGACCACAGTCAACCGATTTATCCTCTTTGAAACAAAAATCAGCAACATTAGAATAAAACTGTTAGTTTCATCATTATACAAAGAGCATAAATATACATCGTACACAGAATAAATCTTTTTGAGACGACGATAATCTTTCTTCAATGTTGTTTTTCTATAAACGAAGTCTAATTAACATAAATTCGGATATTTGATGGGAGAACAAAATGGGTTTAGCAATCACAATATGCAACATTTAAACCTACTTATGATACTAAAAGCTGTCTTTACTTTGAAAATGTATATACAAGTATACGTCGGCCCCTATCACCAAATAATAATATTCAGTACAGCGGATTTAATAGGCCTAATATTCCTTTAAGTGTATACGGCTTTGCTTTCAAACTTATATTATTTTATAACATATTTTGTCAGATTTATGTTTTAAACATCTCCATATTTAGTGTTAAGGCCAAAAAAAAAAATAATAAGTCGGTCTCTGGTCAGCGCGCGCGTCGATTTTAATCATGCGCGTCAATCTTTTTTTCCAAAATGTTCCGCGGTAGCTCCAACAGCGCCCTCTATTGCCGCACCTCCTCATTTTTTTTTTTACCAAAGAGCACCAAGGAATGGGAAATTGCACCGAGGCAAATGATTGAGAGCACCAAGACAAATTATGGAGGACACCAATGTACATGAGGACACCAAAAAAACCCCCAAAAATACCCCACCTTGTCTGTACAATCCAAGCTTGAAGAAAAAAAAAGCAAAAAAAAAACAAAAACAAAAACCGCGTCCCCGCATCAATTCCGGAACTTTGGTCTGACCAGAGACCGAATGTTTTTTTTTGGGCCTAATGCCTAGATTTAATATTTTAACCTGTACACACAGCCATACGTTTCAAGTTTCGAAAATTTGCCAGAAAAAATTTATGTTAATCGAAATGAAGTTGACAGTTATTAATTTTATTTTATTTCTACATCAATAATGAAACAGATGACGATTAGTATTGTAAGGATAAATTACGTACAAAATATAGACCACAGTCAACCCATTTATCCTCTTTGAAACAAAAATCAGCAACATTAGAATAAAACTGTTAGTTTCATCATTATACAAAGAGCATAAATATACATCGTACACAGAATAAATCTTTTTTGAGACGACGATAATCTTTCTTCAATGTTTTTTTTTTATAAACGAAGTCTAATTAACACATAAATTCGGATATTTGATGTGAGAACAAAATGGGTTTAGCAATCACAATATGCAACATTTATACCTACTTATGATACTAAAAGCTGTCTTTACTTTGAAAATGTATATACAAGTATACGTGGGCCCCTATCGCCAAATAATAATATTCAGTACAGCGGATTTAATAGGCCTAATATTCCTTTAAGTGTATACGGCTTTGCTTTCAAACTTAAATAATTTTATAACATATTTCGTCAGATTTATGTTTTAAACATCTCCATATTTAGTGTTAAGGCCAAAAAAAAAATAATAAGTCGGTCTCTGGTCAGCGCGCGCGTCGATTTTAATCATGCGCGTCAATCTTTTTTTCCAAAATGTTCCGCGGTAGCTCCAACAGCGCCCTCTATTGCCGCACCTCCTCATTTTTTTTTTACCAAAGAGCACCAAGGAATGGGAAATTGCACCGAGGCAAATGATTGAGAGCACCAAGACAAATTATGGAGGACACCAATGTACATGAGGACACCAAACCCCCCCCCCCCAAAAAAAAAAAATACCCCACCTTGTCTGTACAATCCAAGCTTGAAGAAAAAAAAAGCAAAAAAAAACACCCAAAAAAAACCGCGTCCCCGCATCAATTCCGGCACTTTGGTCTGACCAGAGACCGAATGTTTTTTTTTGGCCTAATGCCTAGATTTAATATTTTAACCTGTACACACAGCCATACGTTTCAAGTTTCGAAAATTTGCCAGAAAAAAATAATGTTAATCGAAATGAAGTTGACAGTTATTAATTTTATTTTATTTCTACATCAATAATGAAACAGATGACGATTAGTATTGTAAGGAGTCTTACAAAACTAATCGTCATCTTTTTCATTATTGGTGTTGATATAAAATAAAAACCTGATGTATCATTTCAAACCAAAAAATCTGGTGGAGGATAATTGTCAATAGAGCCAAGCTATTGTTAGCAAAGCAACTGTCAAGGCATGACGGTAAAAGACTGATATCCTTACTTTACTTTGCACCATTTGGAGAAGGTCTTGGAGTTCACATACTTTTTATCACCAATCTTAGATTTAGCCCTCTGTATGACCTCCTCAGGTGAATAACAATCGTCCCTATACTCTAGCCTGTACATGGGAGGTTTGAAATCAACCGACTCTTGCACGACAACTTGTTTTTTGGTGTAATGTACTACCCCGACCTTACTGTTAGTCGGATCAAGATCCACGACTATAGCGTGGTTGTCATCATGCAAGACAATCTCATCGCCTGATTTCAGGTCCTGGATGCTTTTCACAGCCCTATCATCGGTCCCGGTCATTAAAACGCGCGGATGACCAACCACCGCCCCTATGCAAATTCCTGCGAACTTTCCCAATCCCTCTCCTAAGAAAGTCCCGAAAATACCCCCTACATAAGTCCCAAATGCACCCTTAACAAGATTCAAAGGTACTAAACACAAAGCGTTTTTCATTCCTATAACCGGCGTAATGAGCTTTAAAACCTCCATACTTACCGAAAGTCCAACCCAAGTACATCCAAGCAATTCTCCAAGCCATCCTCCAACCATGCTGCACGCCGCGCCAGTGCTGATACCGAAAATCGCCTCGGCAAGACGTTGGGCAACGCTGGCCATGCAATCGTGCCGGGAAATGTCACCAGCATTTCTGCTGTTTAAAATCTTGTAAACATCGTACACGCAAAAGCCGCACTCAACAAAGATAGCAATCCACAGTGAATAGGACTTTTTCTCTAGGATCTCGGCAAAAAATTCTTTTGCAGTTCCGACGGCCTTGACTGTGGTTGTAAACATAATCGCTTTCAGCTTATGGAATAACCAGACAACCTGGCAGCTTTCTGCAAGCCCTGTCTTACAACATGTCGCAAACGTTTCGCAGTTATCATTAAACAGACTGTAACCAGTGTCTTCTAACCTAGATCTAGCCCGAGCAATTACCAACTCAGACGGGTTAACTTGAGTTATCTCGTCAGGGTAATCGATACGAAACAATTCTCCCCATTCTTGGTTTAGGTCAAGCCATTTGTGTGTGATTTGTAGCAGTAGCACATTTTTGTCCGATTTGCACCACTGAAAAACCATAACGCTCCCCCCAGCGTAATCAATTTCTGACACAATGGCATGATGCCAGTAGCCCAAAGGGCGATGCCAAGTGATGTGATCCCCCACCTTTAGGATATTGCACAGGGACTGAAAATTCTCGATTTTGGTGCGACTATATTTTACCTGGAAGGAGGTATTGCTCTCAGTGACTATCTTGAGTTGTTGCTTGAGGGTGACATCCTCGACGTTTACGGACGGGCGGGTGTTATCTTCGTCTGGATGATACAAGAATCGCTCCTGTAGCCACTCTTGACCGCAGGCTGAGTTAGTACAACGCACGCCGAGTAGTTGATCGTCATAGATGTAGGGTCGGTACTTGATTTTTTCGTTATTGTTACAAGGGCAGTTGGGGAGACCTTGAAAAGATGATGGGTGGGGTGAACAAAACAAATTAGGCTGTGTGTTTTTTATGGGAGTGGGCAAAAGTGTTGAAACAATTTTAGGTTCAATAATTCATCTTTTTTTTCATAATGGGATTCCTGTTCTTGTTTGCAGTGTTATAAAGAAAGGTTTTAAAACGCATAGTTAAGACGCTTATGAAACGGAGTGTGTGCTTTAGTCATAAATAACACTATTTTGAAACTTTGTAATAAAAGATTGATTTATCGCGTCCGTAAAAAAAGGAAACACATACGCAGCGCATACGTAATATGTATGCGTTACAGAAAAACGCACATATGAGAAACCAGCTACATGTTCTTCAGAATTGTTTGGTAGCTCATCATAGCCGTAGCCCCCCCCCCCCCCCCCCGACGCCGCGAATCCAAACCATATATGTGTGTAATTGGCTTCAATTATATCTGCCAATTGTTTCAGGATGTGATCCAAAAGTCAGTTACCTATTATTGTTGCATGTTTCTGGTTTTTTTGTACTTGATAACATTTTTAGGGAGAGCCACTAGATAGTGATTAAGTTCGCCTTTGGCAACCCTTCAGGGGTGTTATCAATATTGTTTTTGCTTGTCTTCTCGTTGGTTTTTGTTACACTGGCTTGTTTACTTAAATGTTTGTATTGTATTCTGTGTTTATGTGTATGTTCTTACCTATAAGAAATAATAAATAAAATAAGTACAATGAAAATTGTTACTTTACATTAAAATGGAAGCTTGTGTAGGCTAGGCCTACGTATAGAGAATTCTGAACGAACAGAACTATAGGCTAAAATTAGATTCTTTCTCAGAACTCACGCGATATAAGTATTCATTACGGAGTTTCCTAATATTTCCCTTATACTATTTACCAAGACGGAAAAAAGAAAACCCAAAACAACAATAATCTGTTACAAACTTCCAAATGGCCCATATAACTCGCCAACATTTGTTCTGAAATATTTGTGTTGAAATATTCACTTAGTTCTTGATAAAGATATTTGGATCATGTTATGAATAAAGTAGCTCTAGCTTTGAAAGTATGAAAGTAATGTGATTTTGCGTTTCTACCTTGGATATCCATAGTCTTTGTCTTTTTTTCTGAGTGTTAACTCAAACTCTTTGTGATTCGGTTCAACCTGCAAGTTGAAATGAAAAAAAAGAAGAAAGAAGACCGCCATGTTATATTCCCAATGGCCATACGCAAACTTACAGTTAACCCGTCTTTAGCAATGTCAACATTATTTTTTTAATAATACAAATAACGTCACGTGACCAAAACGAGAGGAATTCCTCCTTTTTCCGAAAACTTCCGAAGTTTGCCGAATTCACTTCGTCGACAATCAGATAGCGCCCGAGTATTTCCGAGTTTAATATAGGTTTTATTAACTGCTAATTGCTTATTAAAAACTAAAAAAAAACCGAGATGATAATATAATATTTATTGCCTTTTGTAAGCAAATTTGAAATTCAAGGACAAAATCGTATACCAGGGGCAAACTTTTTGCTGCGTCATGTACTTTTTTGAATTTTACGACCGTTAGCGGCCTTTTTCCAAAACTCGGTGTGGTCTTCATTCGGCTCCGCCTGCTAACAGTGCTATTAGGGTGCCTTACTTTGAAGATTTCAGGTCAACATTTGTCAATGTTTTCTTATAGAATTATCAAACTGTATTGTCATAAATGTATGATATTATGAAGTAAGAGATTTATTTTAAAAATTTGATCGGAACATTAAAAGCTTTATGTGATAAATCAAAATCGGAAACAAAGCCGACTTTTTACAAAGGGCTGTCAATGTCGTCATGTTTATTTTTAGCCACGGAGGCTGCCTGACCAACAATTTAGACGTGAGCGTCGGGAATAATTGTCAGGTCTGGGAACCAGACTATTCAGAAATAGTCGGAATCTTTTGGTCTGGGAACCAGACTAACATTTTTGTAAAACGTGTCTTGGTGGTGAGTTGTATAAACAGGGGGCCTCGTGTAAAAGTGGCAAGAATAAATGGCCTAGAGCCCCGAAACCCTGAAGAATAGTGTCTCAGTGTGGTTTCCTTCGTCTTGCGTGTGAAAACCTAGGATCTGGTCGACGTTACAATACACAGCCCTGGGTCAGTCTTTAACTGCATTTTCCTCAATCTACACAGTGTGTTCGGATAGACAGAAACACAATTTTAGGCAAAAACTAAAGCCTGCACGATAAAGCGATCGAGTAGAATGTAGGTCTATACAGTACCGACACAACGGCCATGTGATCTGGACAAAATGTCCACAGAATTATGCCCTTTTTTTGAATAATTATGAAATGGACCATAATATACTTTCACTATGCCTCCAGTGCGAAAATGTTGAATGGAAAACAATTGCTCCCGGTCCTCGGAAGACCCCCCCCCAAAAAAAAATTACCCCCGCCCAATCATGGTGGCTCAGACATTATGTTACATACGTAGTGTGAACATTCCTTGTTTCCATGTAGTTAAGAAAAACCTGTGAAAAAAACCTCATTTTACTCACACTGTGAACATTCTTTCAATCCAATTTGTTTCCTGTTGGGGCTTATTCTCTTTAGTCTTTTCCTTCATTTTGCCATGGATAAACCTATAACCCCAAAATGCCTCTAAATCTGCTTTCCAGAGAGGGGCCGGGAAACACCGTATGGACGTGGGCAAGTCCACACAGCGTCGCTACTCCTATACCGGGTTTATGCGGGCATCTGTAAATTTGTTCGGTCCACACATTGAATGTAACTCTTGTACTGAGACTCAACGATAGAGTGCACGTTAGTTTCACAGTCTAACCTTGATATGACAACTACAGTGGTCTATTCTTGCAGTCCGCAGGTGATGCCTTTGGATTTGCAGCGATATAGATGCTCCGGAATATTCTGCAAAAATAAAACAGATACGCACTAATGAAAGCCTATAATGCTCACCACTAAAACACAAAGAGAAGTGACATAAAAGTAATCAATTGGTCTCGCATGGTCAAGGATATTTAGGTAGTTAAAGAAAGTCCCCAGCATCTTCATGGCAATACTGGTTGTCCTGTCGATTAAGCTTTCCTTACCTGCTACATCTATCCGCAAAAGGCGACCTGTATGGATGGAGCTGTAGGCCAAATTATCCGCGTACACGCTAGTATGGTGCGTTAACACAGTGTTGTTTTCAACCGAGTATTAATTTCTCCTGCCTTTTGTTCAGTCATGTATGTACATGTACACTGTGCATGTGACGTAGAGACTGCTGTAACAGGCAGTGCCACCTAAAATGACGATTACGACATGTGTATTTATAGCAACATTAGTAATAGTCTGGTTCCCAGACCAAAAGATTCTGACTTTTCCTTATGAATCTTAGGTCAGGTAGCCTCCGGTAATACATTGTTTTACAATTTACATCACGTGACTAAAACGGGAGGAATTCCGAAATTTGCCGAGTTCTTTCGTCGACAATCGGTTAGCGCACGAGTATTTCCGAGTATAATATAGGTTTAATTAACTGCTAATTGCTTATTAAAGGGAATATACATCATTTGCTTTTGCTGTAATTTTCAGAAATGGATGGAATTGGGGGGTTGGAAATATATAGCAAATATAGTTACACTGACATTTTTGAGGTTTTGGGTTCGAAAATGCTATAAAAACCAAGAAAAACAATCATTTTCCTGTAGTCTGGTTCCCTGACTCCATTTAAGAAGAAACAGAGCAGTTTACATATATTGGGGAATTGTAAGGTCAGGGAACCAGTCTAGCTGGTTTGTACCCGTTCGTAGGTGTGTAATCGATTGCAAACAAGTGCGATGGTCAACTGGGGCCAGCATTTGAAAAAAAGCCAGTTTTTTCCAACGCTGATCGGCCGATCAGCGTTGGAAATTGATACAAAAATACCACTTTTCTTGAAAATGACAGTTTACAAGGTGCCATGATTTTACAGGATGCTTTACACTGTCATTCACTAACAGTCCAGCAAGGTATTTCAAAATGATTTGGTAGTTTTATTTTTTGATGTTTGCAAATGTTGTATTTTCCCTTTAACAACTTTTTAAAATGAGTTGATAATTAAAATTCATAATTTACTTTCATTTAAAAAAACTTAACGCCGATTTTGTGCATCAAGTATACTCGGATCGGACGGGCGAACTTTTTGCAGCGTCATGTACAATTTTGAATTTGACGACCGTACCGAGATTTTCCAAAACTCGGTCTTCATCCGTCTTCGCCTGCTAACAGTGCTATTTGGGTGCCTAATTTTGAAGATTCCAGATCAACATTAGTCAATGTTATCGTACAGAAATATCAAGCTGTATTGTCATAACTGTATGATTGATATTACGAAGCAAGTGATTTATTTAAATATTTGATCAGAACATAAAACGTTTTAAGTGTCAAAGCGAGGTCGAAAACAAAGCCGAGCTTTGAAAAAGGGCCATCAATGTCGTCATGTTTATTTTTAGCCACGGAGGCTGCCTGACCTACAATTTAGACGTGAGCGTCGGGAACCAGACTACATTAGTAAGCAGGAATCTCCGCAAGCGTTTTATTTTTGCTGCCAGAACATTCGATTCCATTTCAGTTCATTCAATATTATTAAGTGACTGAGCAAAACATTTCGTTTATGCTCATTTCGATTCGTTTACAATACTTCGCGTTACAATATTTTCGCTTTTAGTGGGCGATTCTCCAAACATTTGCCATTCTATTTCACTTCAAGTTTAATGTAATGTGCTATTTTGAATGAGAAAAAAATGACAAATGACTTTTTTCTGAGGGCGCTCTTTTAGAAGAAGAACATGTTTTTGTGTATAAAAAAATTGTTCAGTGCGCTTTCAAGAAAATGTGTTTTTTTTCGAAAAGAAAAAAACTTTTTCAAGGTCGCTATAGCTGCACTCAAGAAAAAAAATGTCTGTCTTCGATAAGGCCTACATGCTTTAAACTGGCCTTACCGAATGAAAAAAATATGTTCTCATGAAGAATGGCGAAGATCGTAAAGTGACTCGTACTTGCCAATTCGTTGCGCATCTCACTTTTTCTTACGGCGTTTTATTGCCGTAGTATTGCGTTTACCGTACTAACACCTCACCCGCAGATTCTATGTCTTGATTCGCCGAGAGCGAGTCACATGATACTTTCCACTTTCTGTGCACGGCCAAAAGTACTGTGGCGGTCTTGTGTCGACGATGCCTTGGATATTGCTCTCTGCCGACCCGACGAGCGGCTGTGGGGAAGGCCAGGGGAACAGGTCCGTTTTGGGGCAGTCTACCGCCAGGCGCTCAGCGAACACACTCACTCGCGCTCTCACGCAAACCTCACGAACACACTCGGGGAAGGGTTAACGTCCAATGAATAGATCAGACACTCGGGTATTTAGGGCTTCACTGCTTTATTATAACCACTTGGAGACCCAATAAGATGCGTCCTACTTAGGTGCGTCCTACTAAGGTGTGTCCTACTTAGGTGTGTTCTACTTAGGTGTGTCCTGCTCAATTGTAAGAATTGGCCCCTTTCCAATAATCGTCAAGAACTGGAATGCTTCCCGTACCAACCAGATTTCCTAATCCCTACACTCACCGGAACTAGTGCTCTTCCTGAGTGAGAGACTGACCACAACTGTACTACACACGCTCCAGCAACTCCAAGTCTCTGAGCGGGAACTGTGCTACGCTTCGCGCCACAATTAACAGCTAAAGCACACAACGTGAGCAGTGCAATGGGAGACTGCAATCCATGGACGAGTGAAATGGAAGAGAGTGAGTGCGCGCGCGACACGCGCTTATATACCCGCGCTGGGTACCAACCAGCCACACTACTCGCGCGCTGTACAACGGACAGAAGTCCGCGTACCATCCAAATAAACTACGGTGAACCTAGCGCGCCAATATTAACTGTTCCGCTACAGTACTATACCCGTAGCAACCAAAGTACTATACCATTGGCAACCAAAGTACTATTTCTACGGCGCGATATTTGTGTGCAAATGCATGCTGGTGTGCGCGTTGCGCGTTTTGTTCCAAAGAGAGCGCGCCACAGAGTTGGGTTCAAACATTTCGCGAAGGGGTAGTTTGGAAGAGAAAAATATATTTTCCACCAATTTTGTATTGAAATTGAAGTTTATTTCAACTGTGCACAGATTTAAATAATTTAAAATGTTAAAACCAAGCAGATTCTGTGGGTGAAGTGTTATAAAACAAATATTGAATGCTTTATCTCGTGGTGAAGTAAAACTAGCCTCCCTCGGTGGTCCATGGAGCATTCTATTTCCTTCGGCTTCGCCTCTGGAAAATAGAATGTCCATGGATCACCTCGGGAGGCTAGGTTTACTACACCTCTCGAAGCATTCAATATTTGTGTAATATCGCCTCACTTTTGCGTAATGTAGCCCTATTTTACGGCGTTATATCGCTGTATTTTAATATCGCTGTATTATGGCGTTCTATACAACACCTGAATAAATTCCCGTCATCTGATTGGTGAATTGTAGATCACGTGACATATTATTATTCAGTATAATGCACGGTGCGACCATGCGTTATACCCATGCGTTATACTGTTTCACTTTGCGCTTGTTCCATGACGCGGTTTTTGCGTGCAAAATGCATGCTGGTGTGCGCGTTCAGCGTAGCGCGTATTGTTCCAAAGAGCCAGCGCTACAGCGTTGGGTTCAAACTTTTTCGTGAAGGGGTAGTTCAACATCTTTAAAATCAAAATAAATTGTAGTTTATAATTTACCAATCAAATGCCGAGAATTTATTCAGGTGTTGTATAAAACAAATAACGAATGTTTTACGTTCGTGCGATGGAAAGAATAATTTCATTCGGTGACAGATTGAATGTTCTATTCCACTCGGCTTCGCCTCGTGGAATAGACCGCTTGCAGACGCGTGCGATAATCGACGCGCGAAGGCGCGCGACGCCATGTTGTGGGACAGGCGTATATCTATCCACGCACATTTTGTCCCAGATCATGACGTCGCTCACCTTAGCGCGTCAATTATCGATCGCGTCTGCAAGCGGTCTATAGAACATTAAATCTGTCACATCATGAAATTATTCTTACCATCGCACTCACAAACATTCGTTAAGCCCGGTTCATACTTCATGCGGAAGCTTGTGCGAAGCGAAATTCATGTCGTCAACAATGGTGGACGCGCTTCGAATGTATTGTTGACGTCACGAATTTCGCTTCGCTTTCGCTTTCGCGTGAAGTATGAACCGGGCTTTATTTGTATAATATCGCCGTATTTGATTACGTAATATCGCCATATACTATTTTGTTTTATACAACACCTGAATAAATCCCCGTCATCTGATTGGTGAATTGTAGATCACGTGACATATTATTATTCGGTATAATGCACGGTGCGACCATGCGTTATACCCATGCGTTATACCGTTTCACTTTGCGCTTGTTCCATGACGCGGTATTTGCGTGCAAAATGCATGCTGGTGTGCGCGTTCAGCGCAGCGCGCATTGTTCCAAAGAGCCAGGGCTACAGCGTTGGGTTCAAACATTTTCGTGTAGGGGTAGTTCAACATCTTTAAAATCAAAATAAATTGTAGTTTATAATTTACCAATCAAATGACGAGAATTTATTCAGGTGTTGTATAAAACAAATAACGAATGTTTTACGTTCGTGCGATGGAAAGAATAATTTCATTCGGTGACAGATGGAATGTTCTATTCCACTCGGCTTCGCCTCGTGGAATAGAACATTCAATCTGTCACCTCATGAAATTATTCTTACCATCGCACTCACAAACATTCGTTATTTGTATAATATCGCTGAACTTATGCGTTATATCGCCGTTATCTATTGCATTTTATCGTCATACTATTGCGTTATATCGCCATACTATTGCGTTATATCGCCGTAATTTATTGCGTTATATCGCCATACTATTGGGTTATATCGCCGTAATTTATTGCTTTATATCGCCGTACTTTAACTACGCTGTAATGCGATATTTTTATTGCGTTATATCGCCGTATAGTATTGTGTTATGTTGTCGAACTGTAATATATACTATAGAGTTCAAATAAAAATAAACAACCCAGTGTTATTAGAGTCAGGGATGACCACTGAAGCGTGCATTAGGTTCCGCAAAATCTTCTTGTTACATTTTGTACCCTGAAGATCAATTTTCCGTAGGTTTCTCCTTCTGCATTCTTGAGCATTTTTTGAAATCAATAATATGCAAATTAGCTACCAATGATAATGCATCTATATGCATAATATGCAAAATTAGTATCGGCAATTACGACAAAAATTAACATCTCTCTCTCTTTGCATAAATGGTGTCTAAACCCATAAATTCATTAAAGCCATTTACAATGATAATATGTACATACGTTTATGCACATTAGCCTGCGCCGTTATCAGAAATAATTGTTTTAATAATAAATGCAGGAATTTGTCCAATCGAGGTGTTGATAACCCAGGTGTCTAGATTTGAGTCTTTTAGCGTCAATGGTATTGAAGAGTTTGCAGAATTCAGTATAGGTGGCGCTATTTACTTTTAGTGGAGTTTGGGGTCAGCGCAAGTCAGCGTGAAATTGGCGCGGAAAGTGCGTGCGCGCGCGCGCACGGTTTGCTACTCTGCAGATCTTGGTTGTAAGGTTGTAAGGTACAGCTCCGTGTGTACACACCCCAGGCTCCACATAGTGCAGATTAAATTACAAGTTATACGACTTTTACTGATAAAGTGTGTTCATTGTTTGGATGTTTGGAGGAAAGAATTAGAAGTTAAGAAACCGGAATATTGGTGTCATATGTGTCTTATTCTGTGTGTCCACTGAATAAAATTGAACCCCCGAAAACGCCACATTGGTGGCAGCGGTGAATCCGCTTCTGTTTCGAGTCCATTTTCTCGTAGTCACGATTCCCTGATCGATCCACCGACATGTCAGACACCAACCCGTTGCACCCTTCCACTCGTCCATCCATGCCCCCTCCACCCGTTTCCCTCCCGACACCATTGTTCCATACAATTCCCCCCATTTTCCCTGCCCCGCAAGGCGACATGTCAAGTTTTGTAGTTGACATGCTGCATGAAGTTCCCCGTGCAGCTTTTGACCCGGAGCACTCATTCCTGTCGCTACCGGGGATCCTCCCGCCAGCGACAAGCTCGTTCCAGTGGACAAACGCAGGGTATCCGGCCGAAGCCTCCACGCCCACACCGTCACACCACAGCAGAGCACTGAAGCAACCAGGCACTCTTTCACGGCGCCGCATCATACGACGGAGCCACCGATGCACCGAAGCAGGTACATGGAGTCAACGGGCACACGACAATCCAGCACAGCAATGGCTCCGCAGTGCAACCGTGGCACGACAGACAAGGGCGACTGCACTTCGATGGCGGTTCATAGGGAGGTTTCGCAAGCGAACGGATACGCTTACAAATACGTTTAGCTATCCGTATCCGTTTTTTACTTACATGTAGCGAGCGAGATATGCGTGTCGTCGGCACGTATGACGTCATACGCCACTCACTATCCGCTAAACGTGCCGACGACACGCATATCTCGCTCGCTACACGTAAGTAAAAAACGGATACGGATAGCTAAACGTATTTGTAAGCGTATCCGTTCGCTTGCGAAACCTCCCTTATTTACCGACGGCTAGCGCACCGGATAGCGATGCGACGGTTGTGGGGGCAGCGACGGATTCATCGATTGCACCGACAGGTTCATGTTCGTCAATTCGCAATTCATAGGTGAGCACCACGAGCACGGAGCAAGAGGCGTCGGTTCGGCGCAGCAACCCATGGGAGTCGGTCAGCGACCATGGAACGGTACACCAGCGTATGATAATGTTCGTGCCGCTGGCAGTTCGAGGGTCATACCGACGGCCCATGCGTCAGGAGGCGATGCGTCGGTTTTCAGGGTATCGGCGAGTTCATCAGTTGCGCCGCCCAGTTCATCGGTTGTCAATCAACAGTTAATCGGTGCACACCACGAGCACAGAGCCAGCCACAGGCGTCGGTTCGGCGCAGCACCAAATTGCAGTAGGTCAGCGACCATGGAATGATACACCAGGGTATGATAATGTTCGTGCCGCTGGCGGATCAGGGGTCATACCGACGGCCAATGCGTCAGGTGGCGGTGCATCGGTTGGGTACCAACGGTTTCATCGGTTGTACCGCCCAGTTCATCGGTTGTCAGTCAACAGTTCATCGGTGCACACCACTAGCACGGAGCCACAGGCGTCAGTGCGGCGCAGCAACACATCGGAGTCAGTCAGCGACCATGGAATGGGTATGATTATGTTGGTGCCGCTGGCGGTTCAGGGGTCATACCGATGGCCAATGCGTCAGGTGGCGATGCATCGGTTTTAAGGGTACCGGCGGGTTCATCGGTTGCGCCGCCCAGTTCATCGGTTGTCAATCAACTGTTCATCGGTGCACACCACGAGCACGGAGCCACAGGCGTCGGTGCGGCGTAGCAACACATTGCAGTAGGTCAACGACCATGGAATGATACACAAGGAGTCGGTCAGCGAAATGTTCGTGCCGCTGGTGCTTATCAACATCATTCAAACACAAGTCCGTTTGCAGCAGCTGCAGGGACTGTAGATCGACCAGTGCAGGGGCGGTTGCGTCCACTTATGCGACCCGATAGATACAATGGGACGACTTCATGGACTGCATACTATCGACACTTTGAAATGTGTGCCAGTATTAACGGATGGGGGGGGGGGGGGGGGAATTGAACACGGAGTATCTTGCTGTATCCTTGGCCGGTGCAAACCAACAGGTGCTGCAGGGTCAGACAAACGATGGGACATCATTAACATTCAGCGGTCCGGTGAATGCTTTGAAAGCAAGGTTTAAACCAGATGGACGGAATGAATTATATAGGGTGCAACTTAAGAACAGACGTCAGAAAAATGGAGAGACTCTGTCGGAGCTCGCACAGGATATTCGGCTTCTTGTTGACAAGACTTTCCGCAAGCTCCCAGACGCCGGGGTGGCAACAATGGCCAGAGATTAGTTTCTTGATGCTTTGGCAGATGGAAACATGCGGACATGGACGCTTCAAATGCTTCCCTGTAATTTAGAAGAAGCACTCACAGCTGCGATCGAACTTGAAGCGATAAAAGGTGTTGAGCAGAAAAACAACACCCAGAGACTACGCTCCATAGGGGAGGGAAGGAAGAGGTGTCTGTGAATGAGGTCAGCACGTGTGAACCTCATGACAGTACCGTATCCAAGCTTGGAAGAGATAGGAAGAGATAGGCAAACAGCTACAGTCTTTGATCCGGCGAGAAAATGACCCCGAAAGAACCAGAAAGGATGTTTCAAATGTGGAGAACAGGGCCACTTCAAGCGGGACTGCCCTACATGACGCACCCCAAAGACAGAAACAGAACAGCAGGGAAACGAAGAAAGGCTGACTCCGAGGGCTGACGGTCAGCCATGCGCGAAATGCCATCACAAAAAGTGTTTTATAGCGGAACCATAGCCCCGGTTGGTGCGGACCTCCATGTAGCTGGGCTCATCAATGGAACTCCAGTAGAAATGCTTTTCGATACGGGTGCGACTATCTCCATCGTTTCCAAAAGAGTGGTAGATCAGTTGGATAGCAAGCCAATAACCAATAGTTCGAGCGTGCTTTCCAAGCAAACGAGACATTGCTAAGTGTTTATGGGGAGGCAACAGTCGAGCTTCAGCTAGGTGGAAGAAAGGTGCACCACGAAATGGTGATAGCTGAAGCTGATATTCATAATGACATTCTTCTTGGATTGGACTTTCTGGACAAGCACAACTGCGTCATCGACGTTGGAAGAAGACACCTCGTGCACACAAAGAATATTCTGAGTAATTTACTCATTGAAACGCATAAAGTTAATAGAGTCTAATGATGTACCAAATAGGTATTATGTTGGAATACCCATAGTTACGAGTAAAACGATTAGACTTCAGAACGCCACACCAAATGTGATATCTGCAAAGATACTCACTGGAAATTTACTCATCCGGTGCATCAAAATATTTGGGACGCACTTGGTGAGTAATTTAAAAATGACACACAGATGAGTAATTAGCATAAAAACTCACTCGACGAGTAAATTAAAAAACTTAAAGAAAACGTGTAAACCGACACCAGAATGACACACAAATGAGTCAAGGTCATTTTACGTCAGCCAAGCTTGACACACTTCTAGTGTGTCCATTTATTCTGCCTTTCAAATGCATAACAGACTTAAGGATGTATCCTTGCCAACTGCAAGAAGGTAAGAGTGCGTCTGATACATTTGGATATGACATGTCATAAATGAAGTAGCTAGCCAACAAAGACAACAGCGCATCAATTGTCCCCGTTAATTGGAAGAGGTCCTGTTGTTCTGCATGAAACATGTAGTACTCCTCCTTTGATAGAATATCCTTCTCTTCCCCTAAGTACAGAAGATTTGGCTGCACAGTGGGCTCATCCCATAAAAGAAATGGAAAGGAAAAATACAGTTCTGTCAACATCAATCAAACGACTCTAATTTTGTCACCGTCACAATCATTAACACAATTTCAAGTTCCTGGTGCATTTTAAAACAACATTTTGCTGTCAAAGAGAAAAGGAAGCTGGGAACAATTACAAATTTAAAGGGGTGTATTTTCAGTTTTTGAAACTGTCATGAATTTATTCATCAGTCTTATTGATACATCATACATCAGCTATTGGGGCTTATTTGGGGGTAAGCAAAAAACAAACAAACCTACCTTCTGGTCAGTAATAGGCCAACTTCTGGATTCTCCTACCAAGAATGAAAGCAACATCAATATTGCTCTATGAATCAGTCTTGAAATCTGCAGGGAAAACAATTATAATTGGTTCCATATTATAATTCATGATAACAATTTCAAGTTTGGGGAATCACATTGATTATACCATGGTACGAAATTATTGGACCACTCTCCAAAACACATTCAAGTATTACGAAGTCATGATAGAGTAGATTGCAAATCACCATCTGCTTCGAACATAATAATAATGCACTTTGGATTGAACTCTAAAGCACGAGTTACATGAGTAGCCCACTGAATCAGTAAAGGTCGTTTCAACGACCAACATCATATACTGCATCATGAGATCATAAAACAAACCTACTACGTACGGTAACGTTTCCAATTGAGAAGCAGCAAAACGTGGGCGCAAAATTTCGACACAAGTATAAACTGTAGCTAGTGCTAAAATGGAGAGAGATAAATAAATAAACCCTTACCTCCAAATGGTGGCATCATGGCAGGTGCAGGCTATAGGCAGTGCTTGCTGTCCGGCCGATGGCAGCGGGCTGCTGTCTGAAAGTGTAGTGTAGAAGCATCACAAGACTGGTGCATGCGACGCGACATGCATGGGCAGAACGACAACGTGACCGTACAACGAAGCGCCTTAGTCTCCTTTCAAGGAATTTTCATGCATATTGAGACACTATACCTTGCACTTACACACAGCACCCGAGTCTGTACGGTGTGGGTTCGAACGTTTTTACGTCTTAATGTGAGTCTATCATAGCAGTTAAATTTAGGCGGGAATAGTCGACGCACTGTCTTGCATCGTCAACCCACGCTAAACCTAGGCGTGAGTCATTTGACAACGCAAGTGCATAAGTCTGACACACATTTCAGTCAGCCAACGTTGAGTCAACCTACGCTAAACCTAGGCGTGAGTCATTTGACAACGCAAGTGCATAAGTCTGACACACATTTCAGTCAGCCAACGTTGAGTCAACCTACGCTAAACCTAGGCGGGACTCATTTGACAACGCAAGTGCATAAGTCTGAAACACATTTCAGTCAACCAACGTTGAGTCAACCTACGCTAAACCTAGGCGTGAGTTATTTGACAACGCAAGTGCGTAAGTCTGACACACATTTCAGTCAACCAACGTTGAGTCAACCTTCGCTAAACCTAGGCGTGAGTCATTTGACCACGCAAGTGCATAAGTCTGACACATATTTCATTCAGCCAACGTTGAGTCA